GTTAATGTAGGCCTACCACTATTATATTACATTACTATAACATTACTTTACTATAACATTTTTCTAGCCTGTTGAAACTAAATATTTTGTTATGGAAATATGTATTATTGTAACTAATCTTATTTTTCTCCATGTCTATGATTATGTTGTACCTTTCAGTCCGAAGCTGAACTTACGACATTGGTGAAGTATTCCGTTGTAGCCGTAATTAATTCGGTCGGTTGCATGGACAATACACCACAACTGTAAAGGAAAATAGTATAATTATTATAGGTCTGGGTGAAGGCCTATAAGTTAAGTTTGCTGCATACCACAGTCAACACAATGTAAACAAACAAATAAATAAGATGTTATAATAGTATCAACCATAGCCACAACCAGTCAGGTCATTTTTTAACACTCGTGATTTCTCTTTCCTGTGTACATACATAGCATATAGTATATAGTATAATATAGTATAGTATAGTATAGTATAGTATAGTATAGTATAGTATAGTATAGTATAGTATAGTATAGTATAGTTATAATATAATATGTGACCCAAGACCACGAAAGGGCTGTAAACTCGCATCACCAGGTTTCGAGAAAAAGGGCTAAATAAGTATAACATGTAATTTAAGCAAAATGTGAGTATGTCATAAATATAAACTATTACCTTTAATCTTACTATTTAGGTTCAATATTTCAACTCTAAACCCTAAAATTTTGTAATTTTATGAAGAAACGTATATAAATTCACCAACTTTCAAGCCGCCATACTTCGCTTCCGAACAACTTATTCACGACACAAAATTCAGGCCCCAAAATAGATAAATGAAAACTATCAGATATAATAATACGTTTATTAGTACTCGTATGCTATGTATGTGTTTTCAGAATAAACAAACAGTATAGTTATAAAATAGTAGAATGGTCGGTTCCTTGTAGTGAAGAAAATCTAAAACTTATTTATGAAGTCATTCAAAATCGTGTACAAAATAGTTGAACAAACTTTAAAGTGTATACATAAATGAAGGAAATAGCCTTGAATTAATTCAAATAATACTAAATTGTTTCATGACTTGTTGAAAAAGATTTGGACAACAATCCTCTTGCCGTCTGGCAGTGAAGCGGATCAGAAATTATACAGATTGAGGTTGAGTACATGTTAAGAAACTAGTGGTTATTGAATCTTCAAAAAAAATTGACGTCAACAGAACGATCATCTGCACTATTTTCAGCGATGTGAAATTAAAACGTATTGATAAAGTATATTCACACAACGTCAATCAAATCGTGTACAAAATAGTCAAAAAACTTTAAAGCATCAAACAATAACATGCGTGTCGACATTACAATTGCTTTAGAAATACATTTTCAAAAGTAATTTTCTAGAGCATAGCACCATGTTACGGACTATCTTTATTGAATCAGGGAGTTGTTCCATGAAGTTATTCAAAAGATACGAAGCGGTTCGTGTCTTGTTTAAAAAAAATGATCTTCTTGCTGTGAGGCAATTGATGATGTATGTCAAAATATTAAAATATCAATAATATATGCTGTATATATATATATATAAATATATATATATGTAATATTCCATTATTATGGAATAATAATATAATGTAATTTAATTTAATAATTTAATTTAGTGTTGAGTATGTGTTTCATACATAATGAAAAACATACATGATGGAACCAGTGGTTCGAAACAGATGTTTACCACCTCCCGATGCTACAATGTAGCTTGCACCAATAGAAATCCTAATAATTTCACTTGTAAAGGCTTGCTTAATTCTGAAAATGTTGTAGGTAATGTTTATAAATTTTAAAAAAAGAATCCAACCCCCCCCCCCTAACCCCATTCTGTCCCTTTTTCATCCACACCCTGACAAAACACTCTCTCCATCAATGCTTGAAGAATAAAACACTTCTTATGTCTACTAAATTCATTAGAACAACGGGGATGCCATAATAAGTACATAGATGCTTTTAGCTTTATAAGGGCATAACCAATTTTCCCTGGGATATCACTAATTAACCCCCTGGGGTATCTACTTAAAAATAGAAGATCTCTGTTCCCCAACCTAATTCCAGCAAACCGTAGAAAATTTCATCGCAATAGCTCAATGGGAACTGTGTTGTTGCTAAGGAGTTTCTTTGACTGCTGCTGTGATTTTTCTTCAATTTCTTTAGTACTTATAAAGCCATTTTGCTCAAAACGTCATAGGCCAGTTTATAGAGAATAACTATAATGCAAAATAGCTTAACTTTACACATAATTGTCTGATTAAGGTCAATGACCCCTTATTATAAAGTTAATGATGTGCTCTATTCATTTATATTAAAATCCCATTTTGATAGAGTACGAGTTTACAGCCCTTTTGTGGTCTTGGGTCACATATTATGCCTTTATTAATTTACGTTCATCGGAAAAAATATCAATAAAAAATAAAAAGTCTTTCTCCAATTAAAGACCACTTTTGAAACTAAGTCTTTAGCATCTTTGGTCTTCAATTAGGGCTAATATTATAAAAAATATATAAGATAGGCATTTATTTAGTTGCTGCTAAAATGTGGTCTATAATCGGAGGTTGTCTTTCATTTTTAGGATCTTTAATAAGAAGGAGACCTGTTTACTGTAGGCATCATCTAACCAAAGAGTAATGCTTAACCAAGTCTTTGATGCTAATAAATTTGCTGTCTCTATATTTCCACATCTGTTGATTATTTTGGTATCCTTCTGAGCTCATGGGCAAGCCAAAGAGCAATGGTTAGCAAAGACAGAGAACCAAATTGGTGAGATGCAGCCAGGTTTGTAGGCACATAGTACAACAGTGTGGCTATACCTAATGTCACCTGTAAAAAATAAACAATTTAATATTTATATTACTATTATGATAGTATAATTAATACAAGCTATGTTATGATAAGATATTTTATAATTCATTTCATTCAGATACATTAAAATGTGAAGAACAGAACATATTTGACAAAAAAATTATCAATTTAAAAAAAAATAATAATTTAAAGTATTTTTTAAAGTGTGACATAAAAAACAGTAAAATTATCATAATTAACTCTGTTCTTCTGCTGTCAAGGAGTGTTTGAGCATCCGGTAGATCTTGTTAAATGCAGGTGGGAATGTAGGGGGCATGGAGGCATGTGCCCCCGTTTTGCCACTAAATTTTAAAATGGCAATGCATATCAATAAAATATTATGTATTAAAATAAGCGAAATTCGCTTCTATCCTGAAAATGTTCCCCTACCAGAGGTGGCGCCATCAGGGGGGGGGGGGAGGCCTGGATCCCCTTGTCTTCGGAACGAACAACTAGGTTGTCGGACCAAAATAAAAAAAATAATAATAATTTGCCTATCCAAATAATGCTAGTTTTTGAGATTGGCAATCAAAATAGCCAATCTCAAATACTGTGGTTTAAAAGCACATTTAGGACAAAATTAAGTCATTAAAAACTCTCTCCATGAACTCTAACAGGGATTTTTTTATTCCAGGTCATCAACCAAGGCTTTATCGTCGCCTTGGTTTGGACCTCTCCCTTGGACACATCGGATCCCTTGTCGGCAAATTTCTGGCGCCACCGTTGGCCCTCACCCGTTTGAAAAATCTGGATCCGCCCCTGAAAATAACTTTTTAAACGCATTTAATGCTGGGCATGGTGACACCCATCGGCACTGACTTCTACAGTATACGACAATTGATGTAAAAAGTTGTAAAAAAACATGAAAATATTATAAGAATTTGCAGAGATGTGTTATTTTCGGGGATATTCTTGCTTGCTTGAGGGAGTGCAGGAGCTGTCTCTTATACACATCTAGATGTGTATAAGAGACAGGGTGTATACACACACACATTAATAAGA